GGGCCTGCTTTGTGAGCTTGTGCGCAGATCATGACCAGTCCTTCTCTGGCAGTAGAGAGTAATAGAGACATCACTAGTAGGAACAAATAAGTCCATAGGTATTTATACTAAAAAAAAATCTTATTTCTTCTCCTTCCTTTTGTGTTTAAGAGTTTCATTACTTGTAGCCCAGACTGGCTTCAAATCACAGTCCTCTTATCTCAGATCTCAAGTGCCCTACCCCCAAAAGAAACACTATACCATTGTTGAGAGACTGTCACCCTGTCAGAGATAGGGGAAATAATGTGTCATAAATAATAGAAAAACATGTATTTACTGTTAAAAGAGAACCATCCAGGGTATACTTCTTCTTTATGTACGAATCCATTCTTAGTTCCATAGTTCGGTAAGAGGTTCTGTGTATTACACTACCATGTTTTTGCTCACTGTGGTTTCTCACTCCTTCCAGGAATAGTGGAGGACTATCAATTACCATATTACAACATGGTGCCCAGTGACCCGTCCTATGAGGAGATGCGTGAGGTTGTGTGTGTCAAACGCTTGCGACCAATTGTGTCTAACCGCTGGAACAGTGATGAAGTAAGTTGGAGCCAAACCCCTGTAAAGTGATCAGGGAATGCTGTGTTACTCAATGCTCACCACACTCTCTCTACACTTCTCTTTAGTGTCTTCGAGCAGTTTTGAAGCTGATGTCAGAATGCTGGGCCCATAATCCATCCTCCAGACTCACAGCTTTGAGAATCAAGAAGACACTTGCAAAAATGGTTGAATCCCAGGATGTAAAGATTTGACAGTTAAACAGCTGTGAGGGAGAATCTAGACTGAAGAACTCCACCCAAGGAATGGGTGGATTAGCATGGACTAGGATGTTGGCTTGATGTTCAGACTCTTTCCTCGCCACATCTTCACAGGCTGCTAACAATAACCCTTTCAGTACTCTGCAGAATGCAAGATTGGAACTTCCAAACACGTCATTCTTTCTATACAGACAGGACAGCTTTGTTTGAAATGTTTGGGTTTTTATGAACTGCATCAAGACTCCAATCCTGATAAGAAGCTTCTGGTCTAACTCTGGGTACTCAGTATCCAATCCATAAAGTGATGCTTTCTGTGAAAGCCTTGAGAAAATGAATGAGCTCAGCAGAGATGGAGAGACATGTTTGCCTTCTGTCAGAGAAAACATCTGTTTGTGTTCTGTCTTTGTAAACAGCCTATAGATTGTGATCTCTTTGGGATACTGCCTGGTTGTGACAGTGCGTCATGCTTTGATCTGCACCCCAGAGTTCCTCTGCGGCCGGGGGCTAAGAAGAAAAGCATGTATGGTTGCACAGGAGGGGCTGTGGCCGGTGGTTTAAACTTGCAATATCTGATCAGCGTTCGCCAATCTCATAAAAATCATCTACCTGGTAACTGTAGTAACTTCTCCACCAACTTTATTTTTAACATAATAGTTGTAAAGGCCAAATCAGTTTAAAGTGTCCATAAATTTGGACTGTGTTCTTCTGTCACCATTTTGTTTTCTTTTTTGGTAATTATTTTTTTATGAAACACCTCCTGTCCAGAGTTGAAACTCACTGCTTTGAACCATACTTTGAAAGAAAATGCCTCTTCCTGGAGTCAGCCTTACTGTATCTGATAACGATGTGCATGCCTGTGATCAAATTCTGAAGTCTTTGCCCTCAGTACATCTTAAAAAGGGAAATTGTTTATCATGTGTAATGTGCTTTTATTTTCAAAACCTACATAACGATCTTTCTAGCCATATTTTACATACATACATATATACATACTTACTTAGTTCTATACAAAACGACTCCCATGGATCTCACATCCGATCCTTAATGGGGGAGAATGTTTTCAAGTAGAACTATGTGTGAATTTCAGAATTCATGCATTTAAAAACTTCACTGAGATATTGCATCATTCTTTTATGAAGGATGTCAGCTAATATAAATTTGTCAGTAACTGGTAAATGTATTTTAGATACCTAAATCTTTTGAAATTTGGTTTTACAGTTTCTGGTTTCTAACTTGTGAAGACAGAGTCAGGCAGAAGGGCCTAGTATCTGGTCACTACCCATATCTACACTGAGCTGCTATTATTAAATAAAATGATGTATTTTTTATAGCAGCCTTGTTATCTCAAAGAACAGTTCTGGTTCAGACTTAGATGCTGATATCATACTATTTAAATGTTTATTCTGAGCAAACAAGCTATGAGAGGATCAACTGACATTGTCTCTTTGGATGAAACATAAATTAACATAGTCACAGGTTTTAAATTAAATGGGAGGCTGTCCATCTGCTCATTTATGACTAAATTTAATCTAATACCTGCACATCATAGTCCACAAGTTTGAGATTTGTTGTGACTATTTTGTTTAATGGGTTTCATCTAGTCTAACCAAAGCCTGAGAACACAGGAGATCTGAGTTACCTAAGCCAAGTTTACCTGGATGTAGTTTGGCCTGAATAAACGAAATCTTAAAAATGGTTTTCTAATCTTGATGATACACCTAAGGAATGGCAAACTTTATTCTTAGATGTGCTTAGATGGGGTGCAGAGGCCACTGTAATGATTCTTTTCTAAGTAGCTTGGTCTGAAAAAAGGGGCCGTCAGGAATGGATTGTAAGGCCGACAGAACTCTAGTTACTGCCTTCCCAAGCTGCCTTTCAGTACACTCATTCGAAACAGTAACATTCTTTAAAAGGCAAATGCTGCTGCTGTAATCCTCATTTGGAATCCTAAAATCTAAAGTTGAATTAAACTTATTTTTCCTCTCCTCCCTCTTACTCTTTTAAATTTGAAATTCAGTAAGTGAAATATTTAAAGACTATCTCAGCCCCTGGGGCCAGTGAGAAGGCTCGGTGGGTAAAGACACTTGCTGCCAAGCTGCCAGCCACAGCTCAATCTCTGGGACACGTGAAAGGAGAGAACTGACTGCCCCATAATTGTCCTCTGACATCCACATACTCTGTGGCACGATCCCCCCCCCCCCCCACACACACACATACATCATGCACTCCACATATTCAAACACAAATGTAATTTAAAAAAATACAACCAACTGGTAAAAAAAAGTATTGTGTAGTTACTAATCAATAACTTGCAAAAATCTGTAAACTCATCTGGTCCCACTAACACCAGCAATCCCTTTAACTAAAATATGAGAGCCAAAACCCAAACTACCTAAATAAATATCAAATGATCCAGGAAGATGTCATGAGTGGTTTGTATGGCCAGGAGTTGCTGGTGGTACGGAGCATGTTAAGATTTGCCCCAGCTTGAGTCTCTGAGACTTCATCAGCTCTGAGTACAACATCTGAACTGATTTCTCTGGAAATGTAGCAAAAGATATTTTAGTCAGCATGTTATCCTTCCCGTGTCCAGAAATGTTCCTAAGTCTATAAAGAGACCTATTGCTTTTTATCAGCTGTTGTCCTGGAATGTGCTGGTTTTCATTCATTCGTTCTAATGATATTCAATACTTTTTTCTTTTTAGATGTTTTTCTTGCTTAGACTGTAATTTTTTAAGAACTATGCATCTCTGATTTGACCCAAGATCAAGTTGGATATTGAGTAGTCTATTCCAGGGCAGATTTCCTAAATGAAAGCACTTGTCTTTTCAGATTGTTTGAAATGTTTCCAAATGTCTACGATAATTTCAACAGAAGTGTAGATGATGTAGAAAGGTTATGTAGCTCTTGTGGTAATAACACAGATTGACTGAGTCAGATATTAAGCAGTGACAGTTTGCTCACCTCCTGGCTGTGAGGAGGTGGAGACCAGGCAAGCAGAGCCTTTTCTGGTGCAGTACGTGAAGCCATAGGAAGGATCATCCCATCAGGAAAGCTTAGGAATGTGGCTTTTGCAAAGACTTAGACATAATACTGTAACTTTAGGTTGTACTCTGTACTCTTTCAGTGGAATTATTTAAGCTCTTTAGTGACCTTTGTTCTTCTCACTTAAAAGCTAAAATGTAGTATATATTGTATAAAATGGAAATATTATAGCTTAGGGAAACTGTACATAAGGCATTGACAGGTTAAAGAACATTTTTATTATGCAGTTGTAAAACACCAAAAATACAGAATCTTCTTTGATATGTAACACACTAAATGTATTTTGTACAGCATCTGATTTAAAAGGTGCCTTATTAAGTTTACCATTAATTGCTTTGTTCTATATACAGATTATGTCCAATGTATCATTTTTCAGTAAATAACCTTATTTTAGTATACTTCAGTGATGTGTTTTGTGATGCTGTTCTTGGATTTATTGTGTATCAGAAGTCATCTGTTGAAATTTTATCAGTAAGTCAGTGTACATATATACGTTCCTGAACGTGCATTTCTGCTTCCCAAAACCAGCATGGAACATGGCTAGGTAAGTGGCCATACATTATTTTTGCCTTTATGTAGAGAGATGATGAACCTACTATAATGAGGGGATTTTTTTTCCTTCTATAAAAAATAAAACATTGTTTTCTGGTTATAAAAATGTGTATTTATAACAGAACTTTTGGGAAACAGAAAAGAATAAAGAAGCAAATAAACTACTCCGTTTTATTGACAGACACCACCATTTACATTTGATTGTCTTTTTTTTTAAACTTATTTATTTTATGTACAAGAGTCCTCTGTTGACTTTTTGCCAGAAGAGGGCGTCAGATCCCACTATAGATTGTTGTGAGCCACCATGTAGGTGCTGGGAATTGAACACAGGACCTCTGGAAGAGCAGCCAGTGCTCTTAATTGCTGAGCCATCTCTCTAGCCCCACTATTTACATTTGGATGTGTCTGTCCTGCATTTTTTTTTTATAACATTAAGATTATGGTATTCGCTGGGCGGTGGTGGCACACGGCTTTAATCCCAGCACTCGGGGAGGCAGAGGCAGGTGGATCTCTGTGAGTTCAAGGCCAGCCTGGGCTACAGAATGAGTTCCAGGAAAGGCACAAAGCTACACAGAGAAATCCTGTCTCGAAAAACAAACAAACAAAAAAGATTATAGTATTTATTATATGTCAGTTGAAAACACCATATATTGGCAGAGCATTGTGGTGCATGCCTTTAATTCCAGCACTCGGGAAGCAGAGGCAGGTGGTCAGTCTAGTCTACAGATCAAGTTCCAGGACAGTCAGGGATACACAGAGAAACACTGTCTGAAAAAGAACAACAAAACAAAACCCACCAAATACATTACTCCATTACATTCTACTTCCACAAAAGATGCCCTTAAACTTAGCTCAAGCAATCTTGTGCCTCCTAAGTATAGTGGGGACTGTAGGTGCATACCATGGGGTGCAGCTTTAAAAATACAAGCCAGGTATGGTGGCCTTTCTGGATTCTCTTAAGTTCAAGGCCAGCCTGGTCTACATAGTTTCAGGACAACCAGATTAAAAAAAAAAAAAAAACTTAAAAAAAAAAGCATGTGACCACATAGAGGAAATAATTTATTTCTATGATCTTTTGTTATTTCAATTATTTTTTCATTGTGGCTTTGTTTTTTTGTTTTTTCCAGAGAAGGGGTAAAACTGGGTCTCGCTTATAGCCCAGGCTAGCCTTGAACTCTGTATACTCTAGCCTGAGCTGTATCTTCAGCCGCCTCACAAAAAAACACGTATTGAGCGTCATTGTACACAAACCCTATATTTTTGTTAGATCCCAAATACAGATATGTCTATTTCAGTTTTATTTGCAACAAAGGAAAGTTAAGGCTCCTAATATTGTCCTGTCATCAAGCATTTTCTATTCTCATCAAACATTTTCATTTGCACTGGATTACAAATGAGTACTTGGATTACAGTCTTCAAGGCTTTTTCATTCCATTTGATGAGGTCTTTAAGTGTCCTTACAGTGTCCAGCGGTGTCCACAATGCCGTATTTCCCACCTGCCAGGTACTGTTTGCAGAGTCCCCATTTGCACCTTCTACTTTTAGGGAGCTAGACATGTTTCCGTTTTAAAAGACTCAGCACTGGTTTATGCTACTCGACAGCGACAGTGTGCTTAAAAACAGCCCATCCATGCTCCTCAAGGAGCCCCCATTTCATGTGTGTGTAAACAGTGCATTAGCTACTCTTGTCAGGATGGAATCTGAATAGAAATCCCTCTAAATGATCTGCTAAAGAGAAGAGAAGCTGATCTGGGCTTGTTTGAGAGGCTGTCAGTCCATTGTGGCAGAGGCATGGTAATTGGGCTTGGTCTGTTTCCGTAGGAACCTATGACCACCTTTTAGTGGGGGATCTGGAAGCCAAGAGCTGCAGCCATACCAGAACCTGGTAACCCATTCAGGGCCTGCCTTCAGCCACCCACTTCTGTTAGCCACAGTCCACCAGCTCCCACAGACTCAAAACCAGCTGGGAGATGGCTTGTTCATAAAGTGCTTGTCATATAAACATAAGGGCTGGGGTTCAAGCCCTGGAGCCTGTGTGAAAACCCAGACATGGTAGTGTGGGGCCTGAGATGTCAAAAGACAGGTCCCAGGCCTCTGGCTAGCGTCCCATCTCTCCTTAGTGAGCTCCAGGCCAGTGAGGACCAGGGGTAAGCTTTTGGCAGACACAGAGCCTCTCACAACCATCTGTAACCACTTGCTGGGGACTTAACACCCTCTTCTGGCCTCTGCAGCACTGCATGCTTGTAGTATACAGACGTACGTGCAGGCAAATAATTTAAGATTTTTCTATGTGCATGTATGTATGTATGCACATAGACCTAGCATGGGGTCAGCCACTTCTCCAGGGTTGGATGAGTTCAGAATTAAGCCCTGAGTAGCATTGAGCCTGGTTTACGTTTCCACTTTGCTGGGGCTGCTGATGGCGTTCAGTGGTGGTAGAGCATTTATATATCGTGTACCACATGTGTACCTGGTACCTAGAGAGCCCAGAAGAAGGTGATGCATCCTTTGGAACTGGGCTTACAGGTGGTTATGAGCTGCAGTGCGGGTGCTGTGAACCAAACCCAGATCCTCTGCAAATGAGTACTTGGTTTTACAGTTGAGCCATCTCCCTGGCACCCCCTTTTTATTATTCAAATGGGGTGCCTCAGATAGTACCTGACTTCAAGCTGAGGGCCTCAGCTTTACAAGTACCTAGAACTAAAGGTGCGTACCTCAAAGCCCAGCTAGAACTCCTATGAGGTAAATGTCTTCTGGATGTTTCCTCTATATTTATGGTTTGTTTGTTGTCTGTACCATTCTGCCCTCTGATTTTAGCCAGTGTACTGATTTTTTTTTTCTTTCAACTGCCAGATTTAGCAATTTTAAATTTCATCTGCAGAAACTTACAAAGATACTATAAGGAATCCCATTTACTCTTCATGCTGTTTTATTGACTTAACATTTTGTGTAACTGCTGTGTGGGGTTGGGTTGGAAATCAACAGCCTGTCTGTGCTTTTTCAGAGCTCTTTGAAGTGAGTGAGTGAGCTTATGCCCTCTAAAGTCTTCAGGAATATTCTATTAACCAGTTATGTGCAGTGATCAAAATTGGGAAAAATCGACACTGTCACAATGGTCAACAATCCCATGACCTGCAGGCTTCATTCAGATTTCGCCAGTTCTAATCAAGTCCTCATGAGTGTGTTTTTCTGATATGTGTGTGCTGTGTAATGTGTTCAGTCCTTGGGTCTCCTGTACTTCTTCTACAAGATAAAGCATGGTTTATAGTACTTGTTTTCTAGGGAGGTGGACCTTGCTCTATGATTTCAAACTGATTTTGAGTTTGGCAATCCCTGTCTCTGCCTCCTGGATGTTGGCACATCTGTATGTACCAACAGTGCATCCCGGTGAGATACTCTGACTTCAGTGTGTCATTAATAATGTCAGTGGCAGCCACTTGTTTACCGTGTGTCTTAGGGTTTCTGCAGCTGTGATAAAGTATTGATACCAAAAGCAATCACAGCCCATCACTGAAGGAAGTCAAGGCAGGAATTGAAGCAGAAGTCGCGGGGGAGTGCTGCTCACTGGCTTGCTCCTCAGGGCTTGTTCAGCCTGTTTTTCATTTGTTTGTTTTTTGTTTTTTTAATACCATCCAGGACCACATTTCCAGGGGTGGTACTGCCTCCTGTGAGCTGGGCCCACCTACATAATCATTAATCAAGAAGATCACCACAGACTTGCCTCTAGGCGAATCTTAGGCATTTTCTCAATTGAGAGTCCCTCTTCTCAAATGACTAGCTTGTGTCAAGTTAACATAAAACCAACCAGGACACCATGATAGCTCGTTTCTGAAAAGTTGCCATTGTGTTTGTATTGAGCACATTATGGGGGATGCTTTGGACTATATAGGACTTGTATACCAGTGGTTGCAGATTTCCTGATGCTGTCATTATTCCATCTACAGTTTCCATTGACACTGTGGTGTGAGGAAGCGCTTGCCTTATACAGTTTTTCCGTATGGACTCCTGGGTTCCTGTTTATTGAGTTATATTCCATTAAGTCATTGTAGTTTCGGTGCTCACATTCACCCACACTTGTCTACGTGACACATGCCCATCCCATTTTGAACATTTCTCATTTGGTACATTGGGAAGTTCTAAGCTCCTAGCCTGGGGTCAGCCGTTTCTCCAGGGTTGGGTGGGTGGCTGTGTGACTGCTTTTGTGAGCCTAGCGTGGGGTCTGGAGACTTGTAAGCCACATGCAGATGCTGCAGAAAGAAGTGCCGTTCTGTGCTGTCCTGTCCAGGGACGGTGCCACTGCCTAGTGAGGAGGCCTCTAGGGAGCCTGTGCAGAATTAACCGAGTATTAAGTCAAATGTGCCTAGAATTTCATTTTGTCCCATTTCCCCCCAAGTGCCTCACTAAATGTTTCCCCTTCCAGCAGTAAGCAAGGCAGAGCTTCGGAGGGTATCACTTTATTCCAAAGTTGATGGTTATTGGGGGTTTAGTTTCCCTCCTTCCTTAGAGACGCTGGGGAGGGTGTGGACAGTCAGTGGAGGAGTGAAAGGGGCAAAGGGCCGACCCAGTGATGTCCCTGGTTGACGTCTCTTGACCTCTACACTGAGTGAAGCAAGGAGGAAAAGGCTTGAAATTAAAATTAAATATGCAGATAATGACAGGGTGACTGAAAGTTTAAAAAAATAACACTAACTCCTTTTGTTGTTTTGCGACAAGGTCTCATATCCCAAGCTAGCCTTGAACTGTTATAAAACTGAGGATGTGCCGGGTGGTGGTGGCGCACGCCTTTAATCCCAGCACTTGGGAGGCAGAGCCAGGCGGATCTCTGTGAGTTCGAGGCCAGCCTGGGCTACCAAGTGAGTCCCAGGAAAGGCGCAAAGCTACACAGAGAAACCCTGTCTCGAAAAACCAAAAAAAAAAAAAAAAAAAAAAACTGAGGATGGCCCTAAACTTCTGATCCTCCTGCCTTCTCCGTATGCTGAGATCGAAGCTGTGCACCACCATGCCTGTTTTATGGAGTGCTGGGGACTGAATCCAGGGCTTGAGCTTTTTAGTTAAGCTGCATCCCCAGCCCAGAGATACTAATTTCATTTCCCATGGTTGATTCAACCAGGCATTACCTCCCTTTTATGAGACTAGAAAGGCTGTTTTAACTAGTTTTCCTGTAGTAATTGGAGACTTGATTCCAATTTCAGAAGGAAAAAAAAATGGGAGATTTTTTTTGAGGTTTTGGAAAGAGAATCCAGGCCCTTGTGCACGCCAAACGCTCTCAGTGAGCTACGCCTGGTCTGTCACTGTCACTGTGAACATTCCTTCTGGGGAACAATGACTTCCTGACATAGGGAAGGGGAAATAGAATTTTAAATGTTGTACAGGAGTTTCCAACCACAGAAGGAGCAAAATGCCAAAATAAAACAACAAAGTTGTAGAATTGAGAGAGTGCCTTAGAGCCAAGACAAGCCATGCCATTGGGGGAAGGCATGAGAAGCCCTGCTTCCACTCCAGGCACAGTCCAGGGAGCAGCACACCGGGCCTCCCCCAACCTGTGTGTCCAAAAGAAGGTGCATGCAGCCCACGGCAGGATCTTTGCAGAAGGTGTCCAGGGAAGAGCTAGGCTGCTAGATGTTCTCCAGCTATTGAGGCCAGAGCCTCAGGCTACGGACAGCAGGCAAGTGTGTCATGTCTGACGCAAGCTGAGCCCGGGGTTCAGGTCTTAAACAACAGGAAGCCCCCAAATGCAGCGTGTGGTTGGCTCCCCTTTGTTACTGACCCTTGGATTAACTCAAACCACACTCTCTCACCCTTCTGCAGCTCTGCCATAGCAAAGGCAGTGGCTGTGCTCCCACCCCTCTGTTCTGCACTGTGGACTGGGACCCGGCGGTGACCTTCCAACACCAGCTGCCCCACTCCTGGGCCTGGGCCAAATGTAATGCTCACTGCAAACCAGTAGACGCCACGTCTCGGGGCTCGGAAGTAGCCGTGTTCGGGGAAGTAACCGCTGCCCACGTTGATGGACGTGGTGTTGAACTTCACCATCTGCACAGCAGTTACCACTTCTGAAGAGCTGCCATAGAAGGCCACGGGCGAGCCTGCCAGGGGAAACAGGGAGTTATCCATCGTCTCCCAAACTCCGCCTCCTTCGCCTTATTGCACTAGGAGCAGGACATTCTTTCTAGAGACCTTGTGCATTCCCAAAAGTGTTTGTCTCAGACAGTGTGGTTTCAGAGAGTGGGAGAGAAGGGGAAGTCAGATGTGTTGTCTGGCTGGTGAATGCACTTTCTCCTTTGATCTTCAACAAAGCACGCTCTTTGATCCCATCCTTACAACTCTCTAGAGAAACAAGTGTCTTCGGCTTCCCAAGGCTCATGGCTTGGTGGGCTGTGCTAGAAATCCGGGTACCCAACTCCCACGTGCCTGCTACCTGCCAAGGATCCTTCCTTCCTTCCAGATCAGTGCTGGGGGTGGAACATGGCCTCACACGTGGTGGACGAGTGTTCTACTACTAAGTCATACCCCGGCACATACTTGCTGGGAATCTTGAGACATCTGAGGTGTGGGGGAGAGAATATTACCTATTCTCGAAATAACCATGGGAGATAGTTGAAAGCAGGAATGGTAGTTCTTACCAGATGTGGGCACAAGAGCATGAAGAAAAAGAAAGGAGAAACCCCTTCAAGCCAGGCATGTACACCTAGAATTACACCTGTAATTCTAACATGGGAGACAGGCGGTAAAATCTTCATTTTGAAGCCAATCTGAGCTACATGGTAAGACCTTTCCTGAGTAAGGGGGACCTCCTCTGGCTAGTCATCTAAATTGTAATTATTATTTTATATGAATGGGTATATTGCCTGCATGTGTGTCTGTGTACCATGTGCATGGGTGCTACCTACAAAGGCCAGAAAAGGTCACGAGATCCCCTGGAACTGAGGTTATAGACAGTTGTGAGCTGCCATGTGGGTGCTGGGAATTGGGCCCAGGCCCTCTGGAGGTACAGCCCATGCTCTTAACCACTGAGCCATCTCTTCAGCCCTGGTTAGTCATTTTAATGATTTCCAAAATGTTGCACAGAGCCCTAGCATGGCAGAAGGGGAAACTGGAGGGTATAAAGGGACAGTTTGATGATCCAGACCACAAGCAGAGAGCAGACCTTGGACCCTCTCGATTTGGGGTGCTTTCCTGGCTTCCTCACTTGCAGAAGCACAATCCTGCTGAAACTGGAGGCAGAGCAACACCCCCACCTGAACGAGAGGAAGGGTGTCAGCTACACCACCCGTTCAGGAAGCTCAGGAAACTAACTAACAGCCTGCAGATGGGACAAGAATGTACCTTATGGAGTCCAGAAAGTGAGGCGAATCTTAGCAAGATCCTCTTGGGAGTTCCTTCATCTCTGTCTCTGTCTCTCTATCTCTCTGTCTCTGTGTCTTTCTGTGTGTGTGTGTGTGTGTGTGTGTGTGTGTGTGTGTGTGTGTGTGTGTGTGTGTGTGTGTAAACCCCCTCATTTCTCAGAAAATGGAACCAAGACTTCAAATAAGTCTGCAAAGCAGTTAGTGACTTAAGTCTCAGACTGCAATCCATCTTTTTGCCTCCAAACCCAGAAATAGCCTCAGGAATGACAAAATTTTGCTTCTCTCTGGAAGATTTTATAAGAATTGTTTATGAATAGCTTTCCTGTCTGCCACAGGGAATCCTGAGGGCTGGTGCTGCAGTCCCCAAAGCATCCAGCAGGTGGAGCTCCTGCCTTGGTGAAAGGCTGCCCTACGGTGCCTGCTGGGGGCCATTGGTTCTTCTTTCAACCTGCCTACAGCTGGGAGTCCACCCAGTGGGAGACCCTATGGACTTCAGAAGACAGAAGGGCTATGCAAACTGAGGGTGCGCTTCCCTGCAGGACACAAATCGAAGATCAATGGCCTTCTTGAAAGAAAAGAGTTTTTAAAGGAAAAAAAATATTTTCTGGGAAAAAAAAAAAAAAACATACTGCAGGAGTAACCAGACACCTAACCTTATCAGGCAAACGGTGAAAGTCATCAGCATGTTGAGGCTTGTTCCACTCACAAGAGAAAAAGAGATGGAGGAGTTAGCATACGTGGATGCAGCTCTCTGGAAAGGGGGGGGGGGGGTGTAGAACGGCCCCAGTTCCTGCACACTACGCCCGTGCTGGGGAAAGGAAGCTATCAGGTGTTGTGACAACTCGGGTGTAGGTGGCCCCTCAGGGGCCTTCTGTGGACTTGCTGCAGCTCAGAGCCAGCCTCTCTGGGCTGCTCACTGCTTGGCTGAGGTCATTGCTGGGCTTGAACCTCAGTTTCAGGTAAGATGTGATGATAATGAATGCATGCTTGAGCAGCTAAGGCTGAGTCGTCATGATAAAGCCCAGGAGAGGTACCACAGGGTATTTACACCGCCCACTGTATCTTCTAAGGAAGCCTCTTCCTTCTGAGCATAAGGCCTTTCCCTGTGTTCACCTTTGGTGGGGGTGCTGCCATTGTAGATGATCCCTGCTCCAGTCTACCCTCCCTAGAGTGCAGGGGTGAGCTTATGAAAGACAGGGACTGGGGTGAGGGTGAAGAGTTGAGACATTCTACTCTGTTCTGTAGCTAGGGCCTCTGCCAACTCCTGGGCTCTGGAACTACAATTGACTTATGCCTCCCTATACTCCAGCTAGCTTAAGAGGCTCATAGCCCATAGGTGTGGAGGCACAATCCTTTAATTCCAACACTTAGGAGGCAGAGGCAGACAGATCTCTGTGAGTTTGGGCCCAGCCTGGTCTACAGAGCAAGTCCCAGGACAGTCAGGGCTACACAGAGAAATCCTGTCTCAAACAAACAAAGAGGCCCATAGCCCTGAAGAGAGGGAGAAGGTAGCCTCCTGAGTGGTGGTGATCAATGATCATCCTGCTCTCATGCACCCCATGTCCCCGCCTCCCCCGGGGAGAAGGGAGCAGCTGGGTAGGCAGATAGTCCCGCCCTGGACTCACACAGCCAGTCTCCAGGGCCCAGGCACTCACCTGCTTCCCAGAGCTCTAAGTCCAGAACACCTTTCTCCATCCCTTTGGCACGTGTACCTGCAGACGTCACCACTTGCTTCTTCTCCCTCTTCCGGGATGCTCCTATCTGCTGCTTCTTATCTTTCTTACTCAACATGGTGTGCAGCTTACCTAGGTCTAGGCTGATGTTGCTTGCCACCAGCTCTTGGAAGTTCTGGAAAAGGCTGCGGAAGAGCTGCTGGTGCTGTCTCAAGCTGTGCCGGGTGTCAGAAAGCATGCTGTGTAGGTCTTCAAGGGAGCCATTGAGGGAGGCAGCCCAGGAGGCATCACAGCACTGCCCAACCTGCTTGACATCAGAGCTGAGGCGCTGAATCTCCTGCTCCAGGTTCGCCAAAGCTGTGGCTTCCTCCTCCCTTCCAGAGTCGTGGCTGGGTTCCAGTCGCTCTGCCAACTGTGGGTGCTGCTCCAAGGCCTCCACCCGAGTGGCCAAGGCATCCCAGCCAAACGCCTGTTCCTGCAGCCCGCTGGCGGCGTCCTGCAGAGCAAGGCGGATCTGGTCATAATTCAGGGGCAGAGGGCGAGGCGCCTCCTCTGACATCTCCTCCATCATCTCTTCCCCGAAGAGGGCAGCCAGCACCGCCTGATGCCGCAGCGCATCCTCCAAAAGGGCTGCGAAGGAGCTATGCAGCTGGCGCATCTCTCTGCCGGTCTGGTTCGCCACGGTCTTCAGCGCTTCCACTGCGTGGTCCAGCGCCCGCAGCTGGCTCCGCATCCGGGCCCTCTCGGCCCTTGCCTGCTCACCCTCTACTTTGTGCTTGTCCATCACTGAGGACATGGCATCCACAGTGCTTTGCAACGCCTGCAAAGAAGAACCGTCCAGCTGGTGCTGCTCATCCAGGCTCACCTGGGTCTCTTCCAGGGTGCGCATGGCGTCCCTTTGGCCCTCCCGGATGACGTCCATGTCAGAGTAGAGCCTCTGGCAGTTGCAGTCCTTGACATACTTGATGAGGTCTGCGTGACCCGCCTGCAGATGCTGCAGAGTGAAGTTGAGTTCCAGCAGCTGCCGCTCCATCTCCTCTTTGTTCTCCTCCATGATCAGGGACTTCTCCATCAAGATCACCCGCAGCTCTCGAAGGCCGGTGTGGTTCACCAGCAGCTCCTCCACCTGCCGCTCTACCTTGCTGATCTGATCGAAGGTCTCATCTGATTCAGAATACAGCTCCTTGATTTCATCCACGTGCCGGTTCAAGACACTGTCCATGCTCTTGATGGTGCTCTGCAACTCCTCCTCCTTCTGGTCGATGACTGTGTACAGAGCAGAGATGTTTCTCTGCAGCTGGCCCAGCCTGGCCTGGAGGCTCTCGGGCTCGGGCCTTGCTGCTGCTGCCGCTGCAGATGCCACCACCAGGCTGCCCTCTGCCCCTGGAACTTCCTGAGCCTTGACAAGCTGTTTTAACTTGGTGCTCATCTCAGCTTGGACCTCAGAGAGGGCGTGGTGCAGGGCACGGCGCTGGGCATGCAGCTGGTCCTCCACGTCCTGCTGCAGCCGGCCCACTCTCTGGTTATTCTCCTGGACCTTGGCATCAAACTTGGCACCAAGCTCTTGGAGGTCAGCCCTGGTCACAGTACCCTCCTGGAGCATCTTGACGGCCTGGTGATTGGCCTCCACATCAAGAGACAGGTTTCTGATAGCCTTGGAGAGGCTGTGCAAGCTCTCACCGAAGCTCTTCCACATGGGATTGAAGTGTGCCTTCAGGAACGCATCGATATGGGGCTGCAGCAGGTGCTCTGATATCCTGCCAGAAAACCCTGCAACAGATACCATGTTTCACACAAGTCTGCTGCAGCAGACACCCCTCCCCGGGCTGGGGGAGGAGGGTCTCTGAAATCTGTGCCTTCTTGGGGACTGCTACTCACCGAATTCTGTTTGATTGGCTTCCATCCTCTCAGCTGTAAGGTTGCTGGCTGGGGCCTCCCAAGTGCCTGGGAGGTCATCTTCTGCCAGCTGGGCATCATTCTGGAGATTTTGAAGCAGGTGTTCCTGTGGCACCTTAATCTCATTGAACTCTGTGCCAGGGTGGCCTAAAAACATACCAGACATAAGTGTTAAAGGCAAACTCACCAGGCATGGGCAGATAGATAATGCAGTCAAGAAAAGACTTGGGACTCAGAGCGAGGGAATACATTGGCCCCTCTTGAGCTGGAGCTTAGAAGCCATTAGCCTCAGAAGGGCAAATGCAGCTCTCTACCACCTTTCCTCCCACAGCCACAGCAGACATGACTAATCAATCAGCACATTTCTCTTCTTAGCCACAATTCCATTCCCAGCAGCTCCAACCAATAGATAGTTGACTACGTAGTGAAATCCATCCCCTATCCCACCCTTGAAATCAATTCATAAATGGTGACTCTTTTGTGTTAAGGCTGAGACTAGGGGCAACATGACTTCCACGTGCTGGTGTTGGGGGGCACAGGTGGGGGGGACAGTGTGCAAGAGTGTGGAAAAGCTTCCTCCAAGTCTGGGAGCTTGTGTAGGTCAAGGAGCAAGAAAGGTACCTGGCAAAGCCAGCTTTCTAAGAAAAATGGGGTCAGAAAAAGGAATGGGTATCAGCCCCAGGCAGTAGACCGAGGGCCATGGGAACTTTCCCGGAGAACAGTGCAGGACCACAAGGAAACCATGCTGATTCCAAGGACAAAGTTTTCCTGAGATGGTGCTGCCCATCTGAGGAGGAAGAAGTAAACACACGAGCTCTGTCCTTCTAGGAAAGCAACACACCAAGTTCAGAGCCATCCAGCTGGTCCCAAGTCTCCGGGAGTTCGCCACTTGGCTCCGTGGGCTCGGGGTTTGCTGTGGGATCTGCAGAAGGAAGCATGGTGTGCTGAGCCCAGAAGTCAGAAGAACAGTATGATTTCTGGGGTCAGGGGTTGGGGGGGACTTTGGGGAGCCCTACCATAGTCCTGGCAGTCTGGACCATGGAAGCCTGGACAGCACCTCCAGGCCTGAGAGGTCAGCACCTTCTGTTGGACCTGGTACACTGGCTTCTGGACCACTGGGTACCTGAGGAAGAAGGCGGAGGTCAGCACCTCTAGTGGGCCCACTGGGCCTGGAAAATGGCCTGTCCGTCCTACTCACATGACTTTGACTCTCTGGCAGTCAGGAGCCCCCTGTGGACATGGCTGCTGTGAATGGACCAGTAATTTCTCTGTTTTGCAAGCAGCTATGTAGGTAACCAGTCTAGAGATCTGGTAAGGGCACCAATTCCTGGAAAAGAAGCCACAGGGAAGGGTTGCTGAGCCTTGCCTGACTCCCGATGCCCCACCAATGTCTGGGGACGCCCCACCCTGCCTCCTGCCCAGCCCAGCTCTGGGGTTCTGGAAACCATTAAATGCCAGGGAAGGGAGCTCTTGTCTCAATCCCTAGGCTCTACAAAACCACTCAAAAGAGCCCCTGACCCACTGTCTCCCCAAAGCCTCCCCAGGGCCCGTGGAAGGAGGCCAAGGAGTCCCACATTATAACACAGCTACCTGCAAGCTGTGAGGCTCTCACTATTCCCTTGATCCCAGGGAATGTCGTGGTATGGGTGGGGCTTGGAGAGCCTTAGGACTGAATCTGCAGTTTCTGGCTGTATGACCTTGAGAGACACACTTAAGGAGATCTTATTTCCCCATCTATGGTTGGAGGTGGTGATGCCCCTTTCTAAATGGGCGGAGTATCAAGTGCCCTGGAAGTACCTTGTGCCCTGTCCTGGCAGCTGCCCAATTCTACTCCCCATCTTTTCTCACCAGAATGCACCTGTGCCTACTACTCCCTGGCCCTGCCTACTGGGCAGTTAACTTTCTAGCAATAACTGGGGAAGGAAGGTGGCTGGGTGGAACAGCCTCCTCTCTGGGAAAGGCCTCCACCTGGTGATCCTGCAGAGCAGCTGGGGACACATTCAGTATACTCAACACTTGGGAGGCATTCTCTCCATTTTTACTCCTTGCCTGTATGCACTGTAGAGGTCCTGGGCATGGGGGAGCACTCTCACTGACCTGGGGGCTGGTCCCTGATGCAAGGGTCAAAGCATCTTTCCCTCATAGTTAGCTACAGAACAAAGCTCTCCAGAGATGCCAGTGGCAATGGCCTCTGCTGCCCCATGAAGTTCAGCACTGATGACACTGGACATGCAGACTTTCCCTTGCGGGTCCCAAGGGGAACGGACAATCTCAGAAGAAGGGATGTGGTCAGGACCTGTAAAAGGTCCGATGACAGGGCTGTGTCTAAAGGGCGAGTCAGACAAGGAGCTGGGAGTTTGGACAGGGCTGTGGATGTCGGAGGGACTGCAGATGGGGGCCAGGGAACGAGAAACCTTACTAGAGAGGCATGGTACCAGAGGCAGAAATGGGTCGTTTCTTGAGGCCATGGTAGGCAGAGAGAGGGTTCAAGCAGGGAAGTAATATCACAGAGGCACTCTGGTTCCAGGATCCAGAAAGGATGGGAGTCAGTAAGATATGGATGGTCTCTGATAGAGGTTTTATGGTCTAGAGGAGAAACGTGGGCATCTCGGACCAGGTGATGGGGACATGGAGGAAGTGGCCACGGCTGGTAGTCATCAGAGAGCAATGTTCAGAGGCTTTGCTGGTTGGTGGCTTGTTGGTATTGGAATTTCACTTTCTGAAGCAGCTCTTTGCCCCGGGGCCATTAGGCACCATTACAGATACTGGGGGTAGGGGGAGGACTTAATGGTCAGTGTGTGACCACATCCATTGTGATCCTGAAACACATACACACCCCACACCCCACCACAGCACATGGCCTGCTCTCCCACCAGACTCCGAGAAGCCTGGCAGTTAGCTTCACCTGCCGGGCAGTAGGCTAGAAAAGCTTGGCAGGAAAACTACCTAGTCCCAGCAAAGGAGACCTGAAGATGGTGACATCTGGGGAGCCTCCCGGTGAACTGCCCACCAGAGACCCCTGCACCAAAACAGCTCAGAAAGGCGCAACAGGACAGCTGAGGATGAGCCCTGAGAAAACTCTGTTACAAAACAAGGACGCTGAACCAAGGTGCAGCTTGGTGTTAGAGCGCATGCCTGGCATGTAGGAGGCCCTAATTAAATCCTCAGGAACGGAAAAAGATCAGCAGGAGGTCAAAAATGGGAGAGGGTTCCACTGGGAGAGAACTACAACTGCTGCCCCCAAGTTTACGCTGGTCCTTCTTCCACCACGTCGGTAAGAGAAGTTGCTGCATGGAAGAAACCAAACAGGGACCACGTGGGAGGCGGGAAGTGTAAGGGGTCGGCAGGGTATTCAGAGAACAAAGAGAACACTTGAAAATGAAAAGACTACATTAGCCATAAAAACAAAACCAGGCTGGGGACAATCCTCAGGCAGAGTGCTTGCCCAGCAGACAGGAAGCACTGGGTAGATTTCCAACACCCTGTAAAAACAGGTTTGGTGACAACAGGCCTGTCATCCCAGCAGTTAGGAGGTGGAAGCAGGAGGTCAGGATTTCAAGGCCACCTCCATAATGAGTATTAGGCTAGCCTGGGCTATATGAGATGCTGCTTAAAAAACAAAAGACAAGCCCGGCGGTGGTGGCACACGTCTTTAATCCCAGCACTTGGGAGGCAGAGGCAGGCGGATATTTGTGAGTTCGAGGCCAGCCTGGTCTACAGAGCGAGATCTAGGAAAGGCACAGAGCTACACAGAGAAACCCTGTCTCGAAAACCAAAAAAAAAAAAAAAAAAGGCAAAACACACTATAGATGGCTCAGTGGTTTAAGAAAGAACACCTGCTAGTCTGGCAGAGAACCCAGATTCAGTTCCCAGCACCCACATGTCGGCTCACAAACATCTCTAACTCCAGGCCTTCTGACCCCCATGGGCACTCAGCATCCATTTGGTGCACAAATGTATGTGCAGACAAAACACCCATACACATAAGTAAAAAAATAAATAACAAAAGCAAACAAATACCAAGACAGAAAGAGCAAGTGGAAATGAAAAATAAGAGATTATAGAGCATCAGTCCCAGGCCCAGCATCCAGACGACAGGGACAGCAAAGGAAGAAGTGTGTGTGTGTGTGGGTGTGTCTGTGGGTGTCTGTGTGTGTGGTGTGAGTGGTGTGTGTATGTGTCTGTGTGTGTGGTGTGAGTGTGTATGGTGTGTGTGTGTGTGTGTCTGTGTGTAGTGTGAGAGGTGTGTGTGTGGGTGTGTCTGTGGGTGTGAGTGTGTGTGGTGTGAGTGGTGTGTGTGTGTGTCTGTGTGTAGTGTGAGAGGTGTGTGTGTCTGTGTGTGTGGTGTGAGTGGTGTGTGTATGTCTGTGTGCGTGGTGTGAGTGTGTGTGGTGTGAGTGGTGTGTGTGTGTGTCTGTGTGTGTGGTGTGAGTCTGTGTGTGTGGTGTGAGTGGTGTGTGTATGTCTGTGTGTGTGGTGTGAGTGTGTGTGGTGTGAGTGGTGTGTGTGTCTGTGTGTAGTGTGAGTGGTGTGTGTGTCTCTGTGTGTGGTGTGTGTATGATGTGTTTGTGTGTGGTGTGTCTGTGTGTGTGTGTATCTATGTGTGTGGTGTGTGTGTGGTATGTGTGTCTGTGTGTTGTGTGTCTGTATGTTCCAGAGATAAAAAGGCTTGAGTTTTCAGATGCAAAAAGTCCACTAAGAACCTGCAATAAGATCGAAATAAACTCACATCAAAGCTCACCACCGTGAAATTTTAGAACTCTGGAAGCAAGATGGTTATATCTACATCCTCATAGAAACAGAAATCAACACACATACACTGATAGAGGGAGAGGGAGAGAGAGAGAGATTCTTTCTGGGCCCTGGGACCAGAGTGCCTCTGTGATACTGCTTCCCTGCTTGAACCTCTCTCTGTGACTTCTATCTCAAAAATAAACAAATAAGTTGGATATATTACAGAGCTCAATGACAAAAGAATTGCCTTATAATTTGTATGTGTGTTGCCTAATTGCCTATAATTGTATGTGTGGATGGAGAGGAGAGAGAGAGAGAATGGTCTTGAACCTCTCGACAATGTCCCCTGTAGGAACATATTGAGAATTATATTAAAAACATTGGCAGAAAATAATTGCCAACCTAGAATCTTGTGTACATATTATCTATCAGTCAACAGAAGAATAAAGAGTAGACACATTTTCAAACACAGCAAGTTGCAACCAGGTCATTTACTTAGCATACCAAACTGGGAGGGTTGCGAGAGCTCGGAGTTCAAGGCCAACCTGAGCAACAGTGTGCAAGCTCTACCTCAGAAACGAACAAACAAACAAGTCAGATGTATCAGGTTTCTCAGCTGCTGTCTCCTTCTACCTCTTAGCAGTGGATTAGTAATAATGTGGTTCAAAACCTTGCCTGTACATCAAAACCATCTGCGGCTTCTTAAAAGCTAAAGTCCCTTGTGGGTTGAAGGTGCATCTTGATGGTAGAGCATGTGCTGAGCGTGCCAGAGATTCAATCCCCAGCATTTTGATAAAGTAGTAGTAATGATCAATCTCTAAGCCCAACCCCAGACCAGTTTCAGAAGACCCCAAGTCTGAGCCAGAGCATCAGCATTCTAGAACTCTCTGGGTCATTCCAAGGCACAGCCTAGAATTGAGCGCCACTGGGGCACAGTGCGAGAGAGCAGAACAGCCATCTGTGGAGGAGAATGCTCATTCCAGCACTCGGGAGCCTGAGGCAGGAAGAGGCTGGGTTCAAGGCTAGCCTGAACTACACAGTAACTTCAGTCTTTTGAGGCTGGAGAGATGGTTCAGTTTTTAAGAGAGATGGCTGCTTTTCCAGAGGACCTGGCTTCAGTTCCCAGTGTTCACATGGCAGCTCACAAACATCTGTAACTCCAGTTCCAGGGGATCCGACACCTTCTTCTGGCCTCTGCAGGCACAGGGCACACACATGACACACAGACAGACAGACATGCAGCCACACTCAGGACAATGCAGTAGTCCAGAGGGCAGCTTGTGAGGCAGCTCTGGGGGAGTCTTCACCAGGAACGCACAGTCGGTTGAGGACACAGTTGTTTGAACCTCTGATATGAATGCTAAGAGTGTAGACCAACGGTTGAGAAGCTGAGCTTTTTAAACAGTGACAAAAACACAGAAAACCAAGCAAAAGGTGGGGGGAAGGACAAATGTTTTAATCCAGGGAAAACTAAAAGTATGCAGAGGAAAAAATGATTCATAGTTTATTTCAAGACTCAAGTCATGCCGGGCGGTGGTGGCGCACGCCTTTAATCCCAGCACTCGGGAGGCAGAGCCAGGCGGATCTCTGTGA